CAGGACCAGGCACACTGTCCCAGGACAAATACTTCTAGGCGGGGAAACAACAATGCAACAGTAAAATGGTGGCCACAGCCACCCACACAGTAGTGGAAACCCTCCTTTCCTGGCACTGTGTGAAATACTAAGACAGAGAAGAAGCTCACAGCCTTTTTGTTAGCTGCAGCAGGAGCTGTCCCCATACAGCGAATAAGAGTATAAAGCATTGCGCACAGATATAAAATGTTTACAAAATGTGGCGCTAATACCAATATGTATGCCGTACAGAATAAAGGAAAACAAGAAAAATGAAATGTTGTCTACTCTAAAACTGCACATTATATGTATTCATGGAGCACTCTGTTTGCACTTGCACTTTATATGTATGAAAGCTAAGATTTTACTATTCTTATCTATGCACTATTACACAATTTTAGAGTAGACATTATTTCATTTTTGTCGTGTTTCTTTATTCTGTATGACACACATAATAAAGGGCCACATTTTTATTTAATTTTATGTTTGCATATGTGGGGGGACAGATTAAATGTGAGCAGCTGCTCGATCCTTATATTTAAACTCTTTAATATGAAGTGGTAGTGCATAGGACACTCTTTGCATATAGCACACAGATAGTTACCCATGGCTAAACACCAAAGGGAAAGTGCATGTGTAGCACAAAAATAAGAGGACAAGATAAGGATAAACATGCCTATGGAGGGGGAGGAGGTTTGGGTGTAGTTACCAGAGCAGGGGCATACTTATATGTAAAACTGATGCACTTGCACCTTGGGCTTGGAAAAATACTCATGGCACCAAAGCAAACCTGGGAGTTGTAGCTCCATTTTACCAGGTATCTATAAAAGGCAGTGTTGTGGCGGAAGGACCAACCATCATATGCACCCGTTGAGGAGTTGAGCCCTTGCAAACTACTCCAAAAAGCTGAAAAGCAGATAAATCGCAGCCAATCCCCCTATTGTGGGGAACTGCATGCGCCAGCCCAATGACAGTGCTGGGGGGTACTACCTGAATTTATATTATCTGGCCTGTTACCCTGAACCTTGACTGAAGATGATAAATCAAATCGACCAGAAAAAAAAAATAACATCAACCGGAATCAAAGAACTCCATCAAATGTAAATAAAGATTCATGAAGTGAAAAGGTGAAAACAAAAGAGGAAAATTCTGGGTCCAAACTCATGAGCACTAGGCAGAAAAACTGATCTGTGTGCTGCAGATGGAGGGTATAGTCAACAGCGTGGAGCCTTGTGCTACTTTCACACTGAGGAGTTTTTGAAGCATTTTCGCATTAAAAAAAAAGCACCTGAAAAGCTCAAGAAAAATGCTTCCCTATGTTTTTCTATGTATGTTTTCACACTGGATTGTTGCGCTTACGTTGCAGGTTAAAAACTTCTGCTTGCAGCATCTTTGGAGCATGTTTGTTCAGTTTAAAAAAAAAACCCCAAGAAATGCCTCTTCCTATTTAAATCAATGGAAAGCCTCTGAAAAACGCCTGAAAAACACCAGAGAAGTGTCTCTGGTGCAGTTTTTAAGTCACGTGTCCTTTTAAAACAAACGCTCAGAAAGTACGGCAAAAACACCTATGCGTTCTTTGCAGCGGATTGTAGCCTTCGTTTTCTGCCACACACAGCGTTTTGATTTTAGGCCAAAAAGTTCAATTTTGGTCTCATCTGACCAGAGCACCTTCTTCCGCATGCTTGATGTGTCCATCACATGGCTTCTCGCAAACTGCAAACGGGACTTCTTATGGCTTTCTTTCCATAATGGCTTTCTTCCCACTGTTCCAAAAGGGCCACATTTGTGGAGTGCACAACTAATAGTTGTTCTTTGGACAAATTCTCCCACCTAAGCTGTGCATCTGTGCAGCTACTCCAGAGTTACCATGGGCCTCTTGGCAGCTTCTCTGATTAATGCTCTCCTTGCCCGTCATGTCAGGTTAGGTGGATGGCCAAGTCTTGGTAGGTCTGCAGTTGTGCCATACTCTTTCCATTTTTGGATGATAGATTGAATAGTGCTCCGTGAGATGTTCAAAGCTTGGGATATTTTTTTTTAATAACCTAACCCTGCTTTAAACATCTCCACAAATTTATCCCTGACCTGTCTGGTGTGTTCCTTGGCCTTCATGATGCTGTTTGTTCGCTATTGTTCTCTAACAAACCTCTGAGGCCTTAACGGAACAGCTGTATTTATACTGAGATTAAATTACACACTGGTGGACTCTACTAATTAGGTGACTTCTGAAGGCGAATGGCTCCACTAGATTTTAGTTAGGGGAATCAGAGTAAAGGGGCTGAATACAAATGCAAGCTACACTTTTCAGATATTTGTAAAAAATTTTGAAAACCATTTATCATTTTCCTTCCACTTCACAATTATGTGCCACTTTGTGCTGGTCTAGCACATAAAATCCCAATAAAATCCATTTTTGTTTTTAATTGTAACATGACAAAATGTGGAAAATTTCAAGGGGTATGAATACTTTCTCAAGGCACTGTACAGTGAGGAACAGAAGTATTTGAACACCCTGCGATTTTGCAAGTTCTCCCAAGTAGAAATCATGGAGGGGTCTGAAATTCACATTGTAGGTGCATTCCCCTCTGAGACACAGAATTTTAAAAAAAAAAATTCAGGAAATCACATTGTATGATTTTTAAAGAATGTATTTGTCTTGCACTGCTGCTGAACATAAGTATTTGAACACCTGAGAAAATCAGTGTTAATATTTGGTACAGAAGCCTTTGTTTGCAATTACAGAGGTCAAACGTTTCCTGTAGTTCTTGACGAGGTTTGCACACACTGCAACAGGGATTTTGGCCCACTCCTCCACACCGATCTCCTCTAGATCTGTCAGGTTTCGGGGCTGTCGCTGAGCAACACAGAGTTTCAGCTCCCTCCAAAGATGTTCTATTGGATTTAGGTCTGGAGACTGGCTAGGCCACTCCATAACCTTGATATGCTTCTTACGGAGCCACTCCTTGGTTATCCTGGCTGTGTGCTTCGGGTCGTTGTCATGTTGGAAGACCCAGCCACGACCCATCTTCAATGCTCTGACTGAGGGAAGGAGGTTGTTGCTCAAAATCTCACAATAAATGGCCCCATTCATCCTTTCCTTAATACAGGGCAGTCATCCTGTCTCCTTCGCAGAAAAGCACCCCCAAAGCATGATGTTACCACCCTCATGCTTCACAGTAGGGATGGTGTTCTTGGGATGCAACTCATCCTTTTTCCTCCAAACACGACGAGTGTCCAATCTGTCTTTCCAGCCCCAGATCCAATCGCTGACAAATTCATGCAGACTCCACCTCCACAACGTCTCCAAAATACGCACGTTCGTAACTCCAGAAACCACAAAGCAACTCATCCACTCCCTTATCATATCTCGACTTGACTACTGCAACTCCCTCCTCCTCGCCGGCCTACCCCAACACAGGCTATCCCCGCTTCGGTCTATTCTGAATTCTGCGGCCAGACTCATCCACCTCACCAACCGCTCTGTATCCGCCTCCCCCTCTGCCAATCCCTACACTGGCTTCCAATTGCCCAATGCATAAAATTCAAAATATCAACACTGACGTATAAAGCTGTTCATAACACTGCCCCAAACTACATCACCGACCTGATATCCATCTACCACCCAACACGCATTCTCCGCTCCTCACAAGACCTCCTACTCTCCAGTTCCCTGGTCTCCTCCTCCCATGCCCGTCTCCAGGACTTCTCCAGGGCTTCCCCCGTCCTCTGGAACTCACTACCCCAATCCATCAGACTGTCACCTACCCTCCTCACCTTTAGGCGCACCCTGAAAACACATCTCTTTAGAGAAGCCTACCCAGCCCTCACCTAATTGCTGATCTCCTCCGCTCTTCCCACCACTCCATCCCCCACAGCTATTTCCTCCTGTACCACTCTCCCCTCCCTCCTAGATTGTAAGCTCCAAGGAGCAGGGCCCTCGAACCCCTCGTGTATCTCATTGTATTGTTACTGTACTGTCTCCCACTATAATGTACAGCGCTGAGCAAACTATTGGCGCTATATAAATACTATATAATAATAATAATAATAGACTCATCTGACCACATGACTTTCTCCCATGCCTCCTCTGGATCATCCAGATGGTCATTGGCAAACTTCAGACGGACCTGGACATGTGATGACTTGAGCAGGGGAACCTTCCGTGTAATGCATGATTTGAAACCATGATGGCGTAGTGTTCTACCAACAGTGACCTTTAAAACTGTGGTCCCAGCTCTCATGTCATTGACCAGCTCCTCCCTTGTAGTTCTGGGCTGATTCCTCACCTTTCTTATCATCAGTGATACCCCACGAGGTGAGATCTTGCATGGAGCCCCAGTCCGAGGGAGACAGACAGTCGTCTTTAGCCTCTTCCATTTTCTAACAATTTCTCCAACAGTTGATCTATTTTCACCAAGCTGCTTGGCAATTGCCCTGCAGCCCTTATCAGCCTTGTGGAGGTCCACAATTTTGTCTCTGGTGTCTTTTGACAGCTCTTTGGTCTTGCCCATAGTAATAGTTGGCGTCTGACTGACTGTGGGGTGGACAGGTGTCTTTAAAGAGCTCAGACAGGTGCTACTAAGTTAGATTAATGAGTGGAGTAGAGATGGACTTTTTTAAAAACACAGTAACAGGTCTTTGAGAGCCAGAATTCTTGCTGTTTCTTAGGTGTTCAAATACTTATGTTCAGCAGTGCAAGAAAAAAAAATGTTTTAAAAATCATACAATGTGATTTCCTGAACTTTTTTTTTTAATTCTGTCTCTCAGAGTGGGAATGCACCTACAATGTGAATTTCAGACCCCTCCATGATTTCTAAGTGGGATAACTTGCAAAATAGCAGGGTGTTCAAATATTTCTGTTCCTCACTGTATCTCTCTTTTAGATGGTAAGCTCTCATGAGCAGGACCCTTCTCTAAACACTCTTAAATTATATTTAACTTCACCGTCTCCCTTTATTTTGCAGTTGCTGCGCAAACTGTAATACCTGTTTTCGACGTGCTAGCTCCAGCTCTTCTTTTCTTTTCCTCTCCTCCTCTTCAAGACGTCGACACTCCTCTTCTTGCTTGGCCCTTAATTCTGCTTCCCTTCTCTCCTGCTCAATCTTGAAAGTCAAGATCCATTACTTTATTTTTCATTATTACAGAACATTATTATAGATGATATAAGTATAGAAATCCTGGCCACCTAAGCCATTATTCAGGAGCAAAAGAACAGACTAGTGTTCCATCATTAGGTTATCCAAGTAACCAGTGTATACCAACATCTAAGTAAATAATAGATCCACACTATGCTAACTGGGCATGGATGAACCTTTTTATGCCTCTGATAGGAAGGAGTGACTCTGATGGGAAGGAGAATGTGGTGGTGGTGTAAAATGATACTAAAACGTTTGATGAACACTGGGCCTAAAGGAATGCTTTACATGGAGGATACATTAGTGATAAAGCATTTCCATATAAATGTACATTCTCAGGGAATCTCTATAGGTTGAGACAGAGGTGGCTCTGCTGAAAAGCCAAGCTCAGCCCATCAGCACCGTACTAGGATAGAAGTCTCCTAGAGTGAATAAGCTGCTGAGGGAACAAACCTCGTCCCACTACCATGAAATAAATCCTTTTTGAATACAGATGCGCTTATAGAAGCCAAGGGGTCAGAGGAAGAACTAAAGAAACAGGAGAAGGATTTTAGTACACTGAACTTCCCATAGCTTCCCCTATCACAATATGTCATTTCTCGGAGTTAGCCCCCATTCACACCAATGCAATTTGATAGTTCAAAATAGCACAAGTCGTACCTGATTTGTGCCGATGGAACTGTTCAAATTGGGCTCCGACTTGAACAAATTTTGAAAAAGATTCTTGCACTATTTTTGGCGATTTCATGTGTGACTTTCATTGACATCTGTGCATGAGGTTGAACAGATGTCAGCAAGCCACACATGAAATCGCACTGACTTACGGCTTTGAAATCATGCTACTTCAGCTGAAGTAGCACAATTTGAAAGCCGCATTCAGTTTGAAACAAAGCTTAATGTCCATATAAGAGAGACCCTCCCACCTGTTTGTACAAATGACTGTCTATTAATAAGAAATTTCAAAAACGTATATGTATATATTTTGGTACTCACTATAAATGCTTTTTTTTGTCAGGTTCACTGAGAAATATATTCTGATCCCCAGGGTTACAAGAAGGATATTTACAGAGAAATGCTACTGTGTCTCCCAATAAACAAGAGAAAATGTGTATAATCTTAAATATAATATATGACTTAGGGTTTCAAGATCTTAAAAAGGAGGGCATGAAACAGAAGGAAGGATCCAATGTACTTGGCACATAGCCACTTGCAGGGTGTGGTATAAGGCTAATGGATTGGACGTTTGCTCTGTAATGCAATGATGCAATCATTTCATCATTTTATGTGGCTACATTAACAATGGAAAACAAACAAGTGATGTGGTGCTGCTATAAGGTAATTATAAATAAAAAGACAATGAGGACAAAACGGAATAAAATGTCCATATATGTGAAATCAATCAATTTCATTCAGTGATAAAGTTCAACAATTCATATGTCTTTCTTCTTGTACTGATATCCCAAACACCATTAAGTGAAACAGTGTGCATTATACAAGTAGTGCCACCTCAGTGCTCACAGACCTCTCACCTCAGAGCACATGAAAATGCACTTAGTAATAAGAAGTAGACAGAAGGATTCTTCACTTTTTCAATCCACAATCGTGATAGTAATCCAAACCAGAGCCAGGGATCGGTCCCTTTAAAAGGTAATGGAGGTCGCACATTTCTATCCTTAAAAAGGAACAAAGGACACTCCCATGGTGCAGTATGTACTAGTATACGTATTTAAGAATTTATTATGCTAGAACATACTGTACCATGGTAGTGTCCTTTTAAGGACAGAAACGTGCAACCTCCATTACCTTTAAAAAGGGACCGATTCCTAGCTCTAGCATTCTATTGAAAGTTCAAAGGTGTCTGATTACTGTCACATGGTTGTGGACTGAAAAAGTGAAGAATCCTTCTGACTACTTGTTATTACTAAGTGCATTTTCATGTGCTCTGAGGTGAGAGTTCTGTGAGCACTGATGTAGCACTACTTGTATAATGCACACTGTTTCACTTGATGGTGTTTGGGATATCAGTACAAGAAGAAAAACACATGAATTGTTGAAGAACTTTATCAATTAATGAAAATTGATTGATTTCACATATATGGACGTTTTATTCAGTTTTGTCCTCATTGTCTTTTTATTTATAGTTACCTTATAACATCGCAACATCTCGTTTATTTTTTATCTTTATTGTGGGAACACAATTTGATATTAGCAGCAGCCATCATTGTCACATTCATTACACTTTGTCCTATTATTTAGGCAGCACAGGGGTTTCAATTTATTACATTAACAATGGGATGCTCTAATTTGAATGACTATTTTTACCTTGGCAGCTTTTGCTTTTTCCATTTGTTCCAGCTGCTCTCTTGAAGCTCCCTGAGATGCCGGCTCTACAGGTAGGTCCCACACACTGCTTCCCTCCCACACTAAAAAGCAAAGGGATGGTAGAATTAAAGATAGTGATTTAAAACTGATAGAGATTAAGAATATCATCAAAGCACAAGCAAGAATAATTAAGGAAAAACTTTAAATAAAAAAGCACTAAAATACCCAAAAAATAAAACAGCTAACCTATAACAAATAGAAAAAAAAGGAATTTTATAATACCTGTCAATTCCATATCTTGGAGTACAGTACAGGACACAGGCTGAATATTCATAGTTACTGGGTCATAAGCTGCTACACCTTCAGGTGACTGGACACTGGCAAAGCTTTTAACGACATGCTCCCTATAATCCTACCACAATTTTAAGTCAAGCAATGCAGAGTACCACAGAAACAAAAGGGAGTGTGGCCTGAATCCTGTACTCAAAAATATAGTATTTACAGGTAATTCAAAATATCTTATCTGAATCGTGCAGTACAAGACACAGGCTTGATATTCATGGGACATCCCCAAGCAATGAATGATAATGGTGGGCAACAACATTGGTGGGCAAGCAGAGTTGTGCCAACAGGCCCAACAATAACAAGGGTCAGTAGACCCAACTTGCAGTGCTACTGCAAGAATCTTCTGCTTGAAAGCTGCATCTGCAGAGGATTGGGCATCCATGGAAAAGGTATGAACAGAAGACCAGATGGCAGATTTACGAAGCTGGGCAATAGAGGCTTGATGTCGGAATGCCTAAGACATTTCTACCAATCTGGTAGGCAGAGCGCATATTACTGCAGGAGGTGCTTTATCCTTTAGAGAGTAAGCATTTAACATAAGTTGTCTTATCCACCGAGTAATGGGGTAAATTGAAGCAGGATGTGTCCTGCAAGGTCCTGAGGGTAGGACATATAAAGAGTTTGTCTTACCAACAGAAGCTGTAGCCTATAGGTACATTCTGATGATTTAACAATGTCCAGACTGTGAAATGCAATCTTCTTAAGAGTGTTTAGGAGCGAACAACCAAGGAGGAAGGCTGACACTACTTTAGGAAGAAAGGAGGGCCTTCAGTGCAAGACTACTTAGTCCCTTGTGAAGAATGAGGAACAGTTCATTACAAAAAGATATCTGCTAACTCAGAGACACTTCTGACCAAATGTAATAGCCACCAAGAAGGCTATCTTGAAGGAGAGATCATCCAGGGGGAGTTCTCTGATGGGGTTCAAAGGGTGGTTCCTGTAGGGCAGAGAAAACCAAACAAAGGTTCCAAGGAAGCACAGGGTTCTATGGGGAGGTCTGATACAAGAAACACATTGAATAGATTTTTTTTTTTTTTTTTTTTTTTACAAAGGAAAGCAAAGTCAGGGGTTTATATAAAACAGGGGTAGGAAACCGTGAAAAGGTGTAGATCTGAAAAACATTGAAGATTGCAAAGATCACCAGGCACAATGTCGCTTCCTTAATCCTGATTTTGCCGTACTACTGCGTCGCAATCGCATTGCAAGGCAATCATGGGTTTAAATTAGGTGGTGAGGAGGTGGTGAAGAGGCAACATATCGCCTCCTCACCACCTGTCAAACACACTCTGATCGTTTTTTCTGAGGAGCAGCAGTGTCTGCTGCACTTGTGAATGAACCCTTTGCTGCATTTGGCAGCAGCACCCTTAGAGCTCGTTCACACGTAAAGTTGGGGGCTGAGTAATGGTTTTACCGCCCCCTAGTCCCTACCCCCTTTAGCTGCTGAGGCAGCAGCCAAACGTGTACACATGCTGCAGCAGCAATTAAACCCCCTTTTGCTTTTAGCGTGTGCTACTGCCTGCTGAGAATGAACCATTCAAGTAAATAGGGCCCCGCAACTGCATGCTTCTGAGGGGTTCAAGGGGTTAAAGCAAAGGGTGAGAAAGCAATACAATGCTGCCTGATTTAACCACCTTTTTGCTATACTGCAGAAGGTTGCAGGGCACTTGCAGAGCGGCTTCATTTACTTCAATGGGTCATGCTTGGCAGGTGCTACACCCACCAACCTCGACAAAGCATATAGCTCCTGCTGCGGCATGTGTAAACTTTTAGTCACTGCAGCTACAGCGAATGAGGTTGGGGCGGGTGTGGTAAAAACACTTAACTATGGGGTTTTACACCCCCAAACTGCAAATGTAAATGAACCCCTACTGTTCTGAGGCCCTATAAGGCAGCTTTCACACTGATGTTGTGCGGTTTAGCTGCATTGCGACTTTCGTGGGTTAGCTGCGCTTTGCCATAGACTATATACTTCAGGTGTGGCTTTCTGAAAGCGCACCAAAACGTCTGAATTGAGGAGTTTTAGTGCACTTTCAGAAAGTGCACCAAACTCACAAGAAAGCTGCAGCTGCAGTGCACCAGTGTGAAAGCAGCCCTAGATCATTATGCCCAGTGTATTGCCTCACACTGACTTGAAGCTCTCTTCTTTCCTGCTGCTGGTACCACTATGGAGACTGCTAGCCAGGATCACAGGAGTGCAGTTGGTATCACTCCATATGGGACAGGAGTCAGCACTACAGAGGAGGCATCAGCTTATGCAGCTCTTGCTCCCTACTACAACGCCAACTTTACAAGTAGTCCCTCTGCACTCTGTTTAAAGCTCTGGAATGGCGGGTCAGCAAGCCCAGACCGTGATCTACCAGTCACCTGGCCACAATCTACTGGTAGATCGTGATCTTCAGGTTACTGACCCCCGATGTAAAAGAATCAACAAGGTTGAAACCTGTCCCCTAAGAGTATTTAAAGTAAAGTTCTGGTCAATTCCTGATTGTAGGAAGGGCAGAACTCTGAGCATGAAATAATCTCTGGGATGGAAGTGCCTGTGTTTGAACAAGAAAAAATTGGATTTTTTCTACATACTTACCTGTAAAATCCATTTCTTACATCAAGGGACACAGAACAGGCTATTCATGACTATGTGGAGTATAAGCCACCTATAGGTGAATGGACACAGGCCGCCCAATCAGAGAAGAGGTCCTCCCCTATATAACACCTCCTATACAGGAAGTACTTCAGTTTTTGTAGCAAGCAATGAAAATTCCATAAAGAGGGGTGGGACCTCTGTGTCCCATGATGTACTCCAAGAAATGGATTTTACAGGTACATATGTAGAAAAAAAATCCAATTTTCTTTATCGTACATCACGGGACACAGAACAGGCTATTCATAACTATGTGGGATGTTCCAAAGCAATTAGAAATTTGAGGGGAGGGTGACACCATGATAGCCACCTTCAATAATCCCTCAGGACCTACTCAGCCGTCCGTAAAAAACACTGCGGCCAAAGGCAGAATCCTCTGCGGCACTGGCACCCACCTGGTAGAACCTTCTGAATATGTGAACCGAAGACCATATAGCGGCCTTGCAAACCTGAGCCACTGACATCTGATGGCGGATTGCCCAAGATAAAAAATAAATAAGTGATGTAGCACTGCTAAATAATAGGTACAAAAAATAAAAGTGTGACATAGCTGAATAAAACGTCCATAATCTGACTTCTGATGAAGTCACGTGGGCGTGATCTAATGCATAAGGGGCTTGGCTCTGGGCAGACATGAATAGTGAGTTCAGCTGACAAGTGAAGCTTGCGTCTGATGATTTTATGGCATTTTATTAATTTACTACATGTGAGTGTATTACTGCTTCCTAATACATTTTCTATATTAGTACATACTGCACCATGGGAGGAGTATCCTTTGTTCCCTTTTAAGGATAGGAATGTGCGACTTCTATCACCCTTAAAGGGACTGATCCCTGGCTCTGGTTTGACAATCTATTGAAAGCTCAAAGTTGTTTGATTACTATCACATGGCTGTGGATTGAAAAAAAGAAAATCCTTTGGTCTATTTGATATTATAAAGCACATTTCCATGTGCTCTGAGGTGAGAGTTCTGTGAGCACTGAGGTGGCACTATATATTATGTGCACTATTTTACTTGATGGTGTTTGGGATATGAGCACAAGAAGAAAAACGCATGAATTATGGAAGAATCTTTATTACAAATTGATTGATTTTACATATATGGACTCATTATGAACGTTTTATTCAGCTATGTCACTCTTATTTTTTGTAGCTATTATTTAGCAGCGCTACGTAACTTATTTTTAATTTGCTTTACTATTGTGGGAACACAATTTGATGTTACCAACAGCCACTATCATCACACTATTTTTATTTTATTTTCTGCTTGTGTGCGTTTATTTTTCCCTCTCTCTCATTATTGAGGTAGTGCAGGGGTTTCACTCCTATATTCAGATTGCCCAAGATGCACCCCACACTCCTGGTAGAGTGTGCCTTCACCTGAAAAGGGTGGGACTTTACCTTTCAAACCATAGGCTTGAATGATCAATTGGAGGATCCAATGAGAAAAAGTAGCCTTGGATGCCGCCTGCCCCTTCCTAGGCCCCTCTGGCAGTACAATTAGAGCATCTGACCTCCTGACCTGTGCTGTCGCCTTCTAGAAGACCCTTACAGCATGAACCACATCCAAGGCATGCAGAGATCTTTCCCTTACTCACGGAGGCCTAGGAAAGAATGAAGGCAGAACTATGTCCTGACTGAGATGAAAGCTAGAAACCATGTTTGGTAAAAAGCACAGATGAGGTTGCAACACCACTTTATCCTGATGCAAAACCAGAAATGGTTCTCTGCAAGATAGAGCTGCCAGATCTGACACCCTTCTCGCAGAAGTGATTGCCACTAGAAACAACACCTTACAAAAAGGACCAGTGGAATCTCTCCAATAGGTTCAAATGGTGTTTTTTGCAAAACCTTCAAAACCAATTTCAGGTCCAAAGGACACAAAGGCAACCTCACAGGAGGATCCATACGCATCCTGCTTGTAAAAAAGTGCATACCAAAGAGTGATTCGCAATGGGCCTCTTGGGGGAAAAAAAAAAAGCTAATTCTGAAACCTGGCCCTTAATGGTACCAACAGCCATATTCTCCTGCAACTCTGTTTGAAGAAATAACAGAATCCTGCCAATCACATACTTTTGTGGGTGCCATTTGTTAACCTCACACCAGGCAATGTAAGCC